GAGAAACAGAATTACATAATCTCAACATATCTTCCCCAAAATTGAAAATTACAAAGGGAGGAGTAGTAAGTTGACAGCACCTGGCAAATAACATTTTAGCCAAGTAACTAAAAGTTAACATCACCAATAATGGGCTAAACCAACATTATGTGCCTCCTAATATGATACACTGAGAGCACAGTATCACTTTTACCATATTCCTGCTAAGAATACATGACCTCTAATCATGAGGAAACACCAGACGAACCTAAATTGGGTGACAGTCAACAAAATAGGAGGCCTATACGCCTCAAAATTTTCAATGTCATCAAAGCTAAAGAAAGACCGAGGAACCTTCCTAACAAAGACTAAAGAAACATGAAAACTCCTCATAAGGCATCTGGAGTATCTCAGAATAAGAGAAATTGCTATAAACAATAGTAATGAGACAGCAAAATTTGAATGTCTGCAGATTAGAAAATAGCATTGTATCACTGTTAAACTTCCTGAGTTTGCCAAGTATAGTATGGTTAGAAAAGTGAACCTCCTTGTTCTTTTAAAATATGCACTGAATTATTTAGGAGTAAAGAGCATGTATGCAATTTACTTTCAAATGGTTCAGAAAGACAGCAATATGTATATATGCATAGAGATAAAACAAATGAATCAAACTGTTAATAGGTGGTGAAATTTAGGGAAGGGTTTTGAGAATTCTTTGTACTATTCTTGCAACTTTTCTGTACATTTGAAATTATTTCAAAATTTAAAAAGTTAAATATGTGCACATGTATCTATGTGTGTCCATCTTAGAAGTGTTCCCACTATTTCTCTTATGCATGAAATTCAAATCCCTCAAATGTTCTTAAAGACTTTAAAGCAGCTACTCTATTTCAAATTTTAAAAATAAGGCAAGGTCAAAGTCCTTCGAAACCACAATGAAGATTTGAAAATACTGTCTATGCATATTGGCCAATTGGGCGGATAATAATTACTTAAACTAATCATTTCATTTCTTCTGTTAGCTTTACAAAATTACTGAGTCCTAAATTCCTCACTAGCACAATTATCATTTCAGTTATGCCACATTCATAACCTGTCCATAACACTATCTTCCAGCTGCTACAAAAACAAGGATTCTTCTGCAAGTCTGGCTCTGATTCCTTGAATTTTCCCAAATTCATGATTTTAACTTGTTTATTCCTAGATCCTCTAAGAAGAAGAAAAAAAGCTCCCCTTAGAGAAAGACAGAACACTGACCTGAAAGATGTGGGTTTTAACTTTTTAGAGGAAGAGGGTCTCAGGACTTTTTATGGAACAAGGAACAATCATTAACAACAACAAAAAAAGATGTCTATAGACATCAAGAACGAACGTCAGCTGTATCTCAGGAAGAGAAGTCTCAGTTGTGGATGGGAAAACAGATATGTACACACACAATTGTAAAGGTACAAAACACCAGGAAAGTCGCTGGCCCAAGTTTAGCAATCTTGTTTCTCACAATAGGAAAAATGTAGTTTGTCACTATTGAAACATCAAAAACGTACCCCTGTCAACAGTTCTCTGGGTATTTAATTTAACCTACAATCTGCTGGTTTAAAGCAGGTCAGCCTGCATCATAAAAAGATGTCTGCCTTTCAAAACTGCCTAAAGCCGTCAAGTTGGATCACTGGCTTTACACATAAACTCAGTACTGCCCCAAAAGACAGAAAGCAGAGCGCATTTCCATAAGCACACCGCCCTCCTGCCACCCAACCCCGGCCCTTGACAGTGAGTAGGTCCGAGCAGCCACGAGGTGCCCAGTGAAAATGTTTAATTCTTCCAAAAATGGCTTCTAGGAGGAATCCCGGCCTTGAACTCTCCCCAAGGAGGCGTCCCCGCGGCGACATTTCGCTCGCGCGGGAGCGAGTGTGGGGCACCTGGAGAACCGAAGGCGCCGAGAGCCAACTCGGAACGGTGGGCAGTGGCTGGGGAGCCGGCGGGCGCGGAGGAGGGGCAGCAGAGGCGCACGTTCATTCTCCCCGGCGCCTTTACCCTGACCTCTCACTTCTGCCCCAGCTAGCAGCCCGGAAGGCGTCAAGGGCAGGCCCCAGAACTTCGGCCCGAGCCCCAGGCCGGATGGGCCTGCGCGTGCGAGGGCTAGTCGGGTGTGCGGGAGCCGGTGACTTTCGCCGTGACCCTCGCAGGGCGGCAGGTTGAGGCTGGGCTGCCACTGGGCTCTTCCCGTCCGGACTCACCGCCCGCCGGAGCTGCCCCGGAGCCGCCGCTCGGAACATGGCCTGGGTTTCCGCTGCACCCGATCTCGCAGCAGCAGACAGCCGAACGGGGCAGCACGGCCTCCGCCAGTCACCCCGACGCTCGCGAGACGCGCGGACGAGAACAGACGCCCCAGGCCCGGGAGCAAGCCGCGGTCCCCGCCCGCCCATTGGGCGGTCGCACAGCCAATGGGGACGGCGGGAAGTCAGGGGCGGGCCGAGGGAGTGGGGCAAAGGTGAGGCGGTTCCCGGCGGCCCGGCTGCCAGTCTGCGCAGCCGCAGGGCAGAGCCGGGCCGGCTCGCGGGTGGCGGAGCTCGGGCGGGCTCCCAGAGGCAGCGCGGTCGGAGCGACCTGCCACCTTGGCTTCCCGGCCTCCGCACGAAGCCTCCCTCTCACTCCGTTCATTCTTTGGCCTGCTCATTTCTTCCCGGGATCAGCGCTACGCTTGTAATGGCTTAACACGCTGGCAGGTGACGGGATGTAATGGAAACAAGATGCCCTGCCCTTGGGAAACCCACGAGCCTCTGCAGGAAGCGAACGAACAAATGCCGCATTACTGCTGGGGGAGGGGTTCGCTTCAATTGGTGACAGTTGAGCTGGAGTCTGACAGGAACAGGCACTAACAGGGAGGGAAAGTGACGGTAAGACCCAAGAGAGGCAGCGTCTGCGCGCTGCCTGCGGAAGGAGACGGAACAACTGGGGATAGGCGGGCCCGCCCCGACGTCTCCCCCCACTCTGCCTAACCGGGCAGTCCCACCCACGCCTTGGCTTCACTGCGGTGGCTCCCAAGTCTCTGCTGACCTTTGAACCACGTGTCCACCGGCTGCTGGGCGTCTCCTCAGAATGTCTCTGAGCGCCTCAAACCCGCTCGTCCTCAGCTGACCAGGCGTTCTCCTCCAGACCTAATTCTCCTGTGCTCCTTTTTCAGGGAGCGCCTTCCGCCTCCACCCAGCTGCTCAGGCCAGAAACCTGGGAGTCATACCTGACTCTTTCTCCCCTATTCCCTATCCTGTCACTCACTATGACCTAGCAGTTCCACATCCGAAACAGCCCCCAAATCAATCCATCCACGGCTGTCTTCTACCCGGCTCTGCGTTGGGGTTGCTGCAGTCCTCTTTACTGTTCTCCTAGCCTCCAGTCTTCACTTCCAATCCATTCTCCCCGCAAAAGAAGAGCTTTTTCCAAAGAGCAAACTAGTGACGTCATGACCTATTTAATACATCTTTAAGGCTCTCCATTGTTTTTAGGATAAAATCCAAACCTTTAACACGAATTCTCAGCCCTGTACAAGGCTGTGATCCTGTCCCCTTCTTTCCCTCCAGGGACCATACAGAACTTCCTTAGTTTCCTCCAATGCCCTGCTCCCTCTACATCCTTGCTCTCTCTCTCCTCTCTCCCCTTTACTCCTACAACTGGTTAATACTTACTCATTCTTGAAATTTCAGCTTGGATTTCCCTCCTCACACCATCTCCAAATTGGATACCTTCTCCCGGTGCTTCTGTTTCCCGCTGTGCTTCCCTTATTGTAGCAATTGTCACATGGGTTATAATGACCTGGTCACTTGTCTGTCTGACTATGATCTGTAAGGGCAGAGAATATGTCCTACTTTTTAAATTTCGTGTCCACAACACATAGCACAGTTCTGGCTCATAGTAGGCATCCAATCCAATTTGTTGGATGAATCAACAAATTAATAAATGACTTGCCAAAGAGTCTGGGCTTTATCATAAAAGTTTTAAGCAGGGGAGTGATATGTTCAGAAATGGTCTCAATTCCCAATTCAGCAACAGTGTACCTTTCCAGCCTTATCTAGTCTACCAGCAGGTCAGATTGACTCAAACTTCAAAAGATTCTGGAATCCAACAATTCCCACTAATACCCCTTTATTCCTCCACCACTACCACCTTCACTCAGGCCCCTATCATCTCTTGTTGGAATCATTGCAAAGCTTTCTATAGTGTTTCTGTTTCTACTTATGCTTCCAGAAGTCTTTTCTCCAGACAGCAGACTAATTGTGACCTCTGCTCAAAGCCCTACAATGGCTCCCTCTCCTACCACTGTCCCCCTCTCTCACTGTGCCCCAGACACATGGGCCTTCTCGCTGCTCTTTGAACACACCACGCCTGCTCCTTTTCAGGGCTCTGTGCTCTGGTTGTCCCCTCTGCCTGAAGTGCTCTTCCCTCCTTACCTGCACAGGCCAGTTCCTCACTTCATTCAGGCCTCTGCTCAAAAACTGCATTTTACAAAAGGACAAGCTTGGTCTCCCGACATAAAATAGCAACCCACTATACCCCACACCCCTGGCCTCCTCATCTTCTTGTTTGATTTTTGTTCTTGGCATTTATCAGCACCTAACAGGATACACATGTTTCTTCCTTTGTTTGTTACTGATCTCCCTGCACTGGAATGTAAGTTCCCTGGAGCAAGAATTTTGAACCAACAAGCACTGCAAGGGCCCCCTGCTCATCTCTTGTTCTTACTTCTGTCTGAAATTCCCTTCCCCACTAGACAGACCTCTAGTCCACCTTTTTTTTTTCCTCTTTTTGAGACAGGGTCTCACTCTGTTGCCTGGACTAGAGTGCAGTGGCATCCTCACAGCTCACTACAACCTCAAACTCCTGGGCTGAAGCCATCCTCCTGCCTCAGCCTCCTGAGTAGCTGGGACTACAGGAGTGTGCCATTATGCTTGGCTAATTTTTTGATTTTTATAGAGATGGAGTCTCACTCTTGCTCAGGCTGGTCTTGAACTCCTGGCCTCAATCGATCCTCCTGCTTTGGCCTCCCAAAGTGCTAGGATTGCAGGTGGGAACCACCACACCTGGCCCCTCATCATCCACTCTAAATTCCCGTCCCCCTCAGCTAGTATCTCCACTGGTCTCCATGGCTTACCCTGTGCCTTGTACACCAAAGATCTGAGCCCTTGCCTGAGCACCAAGCCCTTCTCACGCCAGGGCTGCTGCACTTGCTTGTTTATTGTCACAAGTGGGCAAGGGAGTACTGAGCAGCAGCCGAGTGAATGACTCTGGGCCAAGATGATGACTCCTCTTCCTGCCTTCTGGTCCTTGCATTTGAGGGGCCCAAAGTGCCCAGGTGGCGGCTATCCATTATAGCTCAGTGGGACTCTTGCTGTGGCCTCTGATGGAAGACTCCCCCTTTGGGGACAAAGACCTCTAACCCTACAGAGGCTAGAGTCACAGCTCCACATAAATGTCTTTGATTCAAGATATATGAACCCCATCCTCATAAAGTCCTGCCTCCACGCTGGTGCTCCCAGTGGCCCTTTAGTAGGCCAACAGCCCTGGGATGACACAGTCTGTGACTTGCTTAGGGAATCTTGTGATCACAAACTCACTTCTGTATCTCCTTTGCAGTGAATTGGGTTCCTGGACTGATGCGATGTTACAGGAGATACTGTGGTAGTGAATCAGGTACTTGGTAAATCCTCAGATAGCAGTGCTGACTAAGGTCCTGTGGGCAGGAAACGGAAACAGTACTCGAAATGTGTGTATTTCCCTGGCAGGTTGAATCACAGCTTTTTCAGGATAGAAGGGGTTCAATGGAGTCAACTTGCCAGCTGGTCTCCTGGAGGAATAATGCCACATCAGGGGCTCATTTGGCAGCAGCAGTAATTGGATCAGCCTTTGTAAGTGGGAGCCCATGCTTTGGGGCTCATACTGCCACTCTTTGTGCCACCGTGGTCATTTTATGCATGTCCCCTTACTGTTAACACTGGATGGCTGATGACAGAAGCTGGCAAAGGTCACCTGGCCAAGATATTTTTGTCTTCTTGGTTACTTGGTGCCTCTTCAATAATAGATGCTTTCTGATGAGTGTTAACATGTAATAGAAAGATCTTTGTACTTTGCCCACTCCATATATCCATCCTCCTGCCCCTACCCCAGACCTCCTTGCTCTCCCAATCTTCCAACCTTTCTTCTTCCAGGCCCCTGGCTAGCCAGGTGGGCCATTCATCACTGCCCCTGAGTTCATATGTATCCCACATTTGGGGCACTGCTCTGTCTGCACAAAGCAGATGACCAGGCACACCTCCTGAAGCTCTGCTGGTGGAGAAGCTTTTCCCTCACCTTTGTCTTTCAAGGCTGTCCCTAAGTGAGGCATGTATAATGCAGCTGCCATCCATGTTCAGCCTGGACTCATATACTGAGCAAACCCTCCATCACCAAATATGGGATTTTTTTTCTTCCTCTTGCCAGCTGACTAAAACGATCCTACGTGCAGCTGTAAGTGTGCACTAGGGGAGAGGTGCTGGCACAGCAGTGGTGACCATGGGGTCCAGGCTGCCCACTCATGCACCTTGCCCACATCCTCTGGTCCTGCTTGTGCTCAGTTACAGATGTGCCAGTTCCATCCTAGGATGGCTTATGACTTGCCTGCCTGATGTTATGATTTGGTGGGTTTGATAGAGCCCAGCTCATGACAGGTAATTCCTTACCTGTGGTCACTTGGTATCCTATGTATGATCAGGCCCTGTAGCACACCTGGAGTTTCTTTTTTTTTTCAAAAAGGCACATAAATCTCTGCTGCAGATGGCATGGCCTTTCTCTAGTACTGTAGGGGCCTGTATTGTGTTTGTCCCAGTGGATCTTGCCATGAACTCCACACAGCATCTTTTTCTAGCATTGATAACACTGACACCATCTCTGGGAGCACAAATGGCCAAGTAGCAGGACTGTCTGCATTGCAGCCTGACTTGCTTTGAGCTCCACTTAATGGTGGCAATCCTTTTGTGTCACCTGCTACGTGGGCTGGAGCAGTGCTTCCCAATATGGAATATAATGTGTCCAGAAGCCAAAGAGGCCTATCAGGCATTATATTTTCTTCTTCATAGTGGAAGGTGCAAGAGGCAATAATTTGTCCTTTTCTTTGGATGGGCTATCTTGGCATGCCCCTGACCCCTGGACCCCTAAACATCTGACTTAAGTGGCAGGCCCCTGAATCTTTATAAGACTTATCTCCCCCACCTCTGGCGTACTTGTGTCAGTCCAAGACCTCTAATGTGCTAGCCATTATTGTCCGTCCAGCCGAATTGGTGTAATGCCATGCATGTCATATATCGGTGCAATGTTGTGCAGTATGTCCGGACGGTTCAAATCTCTTCAGGCTGTGTTGTGATAGATGCTGAAAGTTATCATAGCCCTGGGGCAAAACTATAAATGTACACTGTTGTTTGTTCCATGTGAATGCACACTGTTTCTGATCTTCTTTTCTCCTAGTGACAGAAAGGAACCCATCCACCAAACCAATGTTCACATAAAACGTACCCTATCTGTGTTAATCTACTCTAATAAAGATACCAAAACTGGTGTGGTGGCTGCAATAGGGCTACTACTTGTGTGGACTGTGGCAGTCCACTGTCACCTTCCAGGTTTAATCTGGTTTCTGTAGGGACAATACTGGGAATTAAATGGGAAAATGATCCTTGAAGGTTAGATTCTTGAAGTTTGCTTCACCGCATGCTGTCAAGGAGGTCCTCTAGCTTCTTCATGGTTCTCAATTACTTGTTAAACATTCCTAATCTTTCATAATTTTTTTCCTGTAATGGAGCTTAGCTTAGTCATTGCTACTCAGTGCCATTGTCCTTGTAGTTACTGATTCCCTGTATTTCTCAAGTGCTTAGCATATCCCCTCCCACAGGCATAGCGTCCCAATTTACCACATTGCTGGGGACCCTCATAAATGGTGCAGCTGGTTTGGTAAACAGTCTGGCAGTTCTTCAAAATGGTAAACATAGACTTACCACATGACCCAGCAATTCCATTCTTAGACTTATGTCCAAGAGAATTAAAGATATATGTCTCACAAAAACGTGCACACAGGTTTTACCTCAGATTCGGGAGCTGTTGACTGACTGGTGAGTAGGGCGTGGCCGGCTCCAGCGGAAGATGGCGGTGCAGCCAAGGACAATGGCACTATCTGTCAGCAGCATATCCGAGCACTTATGTGGAGACACTAAGCAGTGAGGGTCGCTGTTGAAAAAGGCCTGAAAAAGGCCAACTTGCTGTGAAATTTCTACATTGCAATAATTTCTGACTAGTACCACGACGTTTGCTGGTCTGTTGTGTGAAAAGGCATCCAGGGATCCAATGACACTCTACAAAAAAGACACCTGCACTTGAATGTTTATAGCAGCACAATTCATAATTGCAAGGCTGTGGAAACAGCCAAGTGCCCATCAATCCAAGAATGGATTAATAAAATGTGGTATATGTATACCATGGAGTACTATTCAGCTCTAAGAAACAATGGTGATATAGCACATCTTATATTTTCCTGGTTAGAGCTGGAACCCATACTATTAAGTGAAGTTTCCCAAGAATGGAAAAACAAGCACCACATATACTCACCAGCAAACTGGTATTAACTGAGTAGCACCTAAGTGGACACATAGGTACTACAGTAATAGGGTATTGGGCAGGTGGGAGGGGGGAGGGGGCGGGTATATATATACATAATGAGTGAGATGTGCACCATCTGAGGGATGGTCCTGCTGGAGACTCAGACTTGTGGGTGGTGGGGGGGAAGGGCATTTATCGAAACCTTAAAATCTGTACCCCTATAATATGCCGGAAAAAAAAAAAAGACATCCAGGAAAAGTTCTTCATTTTACCAACATGAAAGGAAACTGTACAATTTTGGATCATATTGATTTTTTAAATTTTGTAAATAGATCATGAAATTTTTAAGGAAAAGTCTTTGCTTTCAACTAACCAGTCTTATAATCGAATTATTCTGAATGGATGTTTCACCTTTAGTCACGCATTTGAACTTAAAATGCATAATTGTAATTAAAATGGACTGAAATCCAAAAAAAAAACACTATACACAAATGTAGCAGTATTATTCATAATAGCCAAGATATTAAAATAACCCAAATGTCTATCAACTTGAATGGATAAGCAAAATGTGGTATATCCATACAACAGAATATTATTCAACAATAAGAAGGTATGAAGTAACGATATATGCCACAACATAGATGAACCCTGAAAACATTAGGCTGATAAAAGAAGCCAGTCAGAAACAATCACATATTGTATGACTCAGTTTGCAGGAACTGTCTAGAATAGACAAATAAATCTGCAGAGATGGAAAATAGCTCAGCAGTGCTTAGGGCTGGGAAGATGGATAGTGAGGGTGACTGCTGAGGGGAACAGACTTTCTTTTGGAAATGATGAGAACGTCCTGAAATGTACTGTGGCAATGGTTACACTATTCTGTGGATATGCTAAAAACCATGGAACTGTACACTTTAAATGAGTAAATTGCACAGTATGTGAATTTCACCTCAATAAAACTGCTAACACACATAATCCTGGGAGCATGAGGGGCGTTATGACAAACCCTCTCATTTATATTGTCCTTTTTAAAAATCAAATAATTTGAAATGGCCAGTGATTTAACTGTAAATAGTTACAAATGTCTTGTAACACATCTCACAGACCAACTTCCACCCACCAGTGTTTCAGGACTCCATGAGTGACAGCCACTACTTTACACCCAATGTAACGTGCTCAACACCCAACAATTCTATTATCCATCTGTGTGGCTCAAATTGACTACTTTCTGTAGCTGCTCCAGACCTGAAAGGGAGGAGAGACTCCAGGATTTGTCTAGAAGCCGAGTTTGCGCTGCAGACCCATGGTTTCTACTTAAGACTTGGAAACTGCTGGAGCTCAGACCCAGAGCGCTGCTTCTGGGTGGTCCCTTCCTCTGTTTCTAGACAGCTACAAAGAAATGGGCCTGTATTCCTAACACCTGCTTTGTGTTTTCAAGGTTTGTCTGTGTTCTCGATAAGCAATTATTGTGCACTGACATTCTGCCTTTCTGAATACAGCACATGAAAATGGACCTGTCTTTTTAGCAATGTCTGCCAATAGGACTTCTTTCTTTGTGCTAAAAATACACAAAGATGATTTTAACTGTGCCACTTTCAGATTCTCCTTTCAGCTCATCTGTTCCTTCCTACATGTTGTCATTTCTCTGTTTGAAAATCATGACCATGAAACCTCGAACATTTATGAGTTATGCAAACAGTTTCCCGTGGTATATTTTTAATAATTACTACTCTTATTATTACCAGATGCTGAAATCCCAAATGATAACAGAGTGACAGACTTTAAGGGTAAGATTATTTTAGCTAGAGAAGTGTGATAATTTTTGTTCTCTGAGACATAGTAGGTGCCTGGGTTTGTGTTCAGTTTTTTTCAGTTTTTTAGCTGAGATGTTTCACACAAGTTCCTTAATCTCACTGATTCTGTGACTCCGTTGGTAAAAGAGTGAAGCTAATACCTTCCTCATATGGTTTTGGTGAGAAACGTGTGGGATTGTATGTTGTATTAGTTATCTATTGCTGTGTAAAAAAATCGCCTCCAACATTTAGCAGTTTGAAACAACATTTATTATCTTATACAGTTTCTGAGGGTCAGGAACCAGCGTGGCTTAGCTGGGTGGATCTGGCTCAAGGTCTGGATCTGGCTCAAGGTCTCTCATGAGCTTGCACTCAAAGCACTGGCCACGCTGAAGACTCAAATGGGACTGGACGATTTGCTGCCAAGCTTGCACGTGGCTGTTGGCAAGAGGCTTCAGTTCCTTACCACAGGGAACTCTCCATATGGCTTCTATCAGAGAGATACACAGAGATGGAGACAGATGGAGACAGAAAGACGGAGAGAGTGGGGTGGAGAGTCCAAGATGTAAGCTGCAGTCTTTTATAAGCTAAGCCCAGCAGTGACCTGCCATCATGACTACCACGTTCTACTGGTCACACTAATCAACATTAGCATAGGTGGGAGATGACTGCCCAAGGGTGAAAATATCAGGAGGCTGGCATCACTGCGGCCATCTTGGAGGCTGGCTAGCACCTGTGTATGATGAAAGTGCCCAGGAGGGACACCTGGAACCATTAATTCAACAGCCATTCACTGACCACTTACTATGAGTGAGTCCTCATCTCGCCTGGAATATAGACATAGTACTTGCCCTCAGAGGCTTGCATTTTAGGTCATATAGGTGCTCAAGAAATATAAGTTTTTCTTCCAATGAGAAAGAAAACGAAAACTTCATAAAAGGAGTCCTTGCTAAATTAAAGTCCATAGCCATAATCTAAATAATTCCCACTGGGGGAAGTAGGGAATCTCTCCAGCCCCCTAAAATGTGACAATTACAAGTTGGAGGACTCTGCCATTTTTAGTTTAGAAGCAAAGAATTTACATGGAGGATCCCAACTGAAATGAAGACAGCTATATAATTGTCTGTGAGAAAAGATATACCAAGTAAATTGATGGTGTTTACAGCCGTGAGAGGGTGGTTCTCCGTGTTTCCCAAAACTGTTCTTTCCGACCGTTGCTGCATCTATAGGCACAGTAACAGCTGAGCTGCCAGATCCCTGGCTCATTCTCTGCGTGTGGAAGCAGCTGAGGTGAGAACTCTGTTTGGGGATGATACATACACTTTGTTAATTTTGTTGAAGTTCAATGTAATGTACATACAGATATGTATGTACTGTATTAAAAAGGTGACCTTGAGTTTAAAATCTTCTCTAATGTATTCTGATTTCTCCTGGTTGTCCCAAATGGTGAGAATTTTCCTTTATTGATATTTTACTTGTGCCAAAATATTCATACTTCAGGCTCTTAGAGGAGACACATGATTCATGGGGATTAGTGGCAAAGAAGTTTGCTCACATTATCACATTAGCCTCTCACCTCGCTGGCCTCCACAGTGCTGAGGTGAAGCTTGAAATTTATACATACATATTGAAGTCTAAATCGGAGCTTAACAAAGCACACATATCTTCCCATTCCCATTGGTTTCCCTTGGTCCTTGAATTCCGAAAGTCTGACAACCACAGTCATACAAGAACAGTTCAATCCCCAGCTCACTCAAGAGGCCTGCTGCAATCATTCAGGGCTCACTCTTCCTTTCTTTAAGAAAACATCATTTAGGGTATTTTCACCCTGAAGTCATATATAGTGCAGGTCAATTAGTAAATTTTAAAGAAAAAAAGAACATTTGCCAAAAAGAAAATAAACATTCCCTATGACCCCACTCTCAGAGAAAATAAGTGTAATAAATCTGTGAGATGGCCTCTTATTCCATTTCCTGAATTTATCATTTAACTTATTAACAAAATTGGAGTTATATTTAACAACAATTTTGTACAAGCTCTTTGATAACTTGATGGTCTCCTTAGGATAATTTCTAGCAGAAAGTTTACTATGTCAAAGAGATTAGAGTTTTAAGACTGACCAATTTTGCAAACTGCTTTTCAGAATGTTATACCATTTGACACCCCTTCCAACAGGCTAGGAGAAGGCCAGTTTTCACATACTTTGCCAACACTGTGAATTTTCAGGTTTTGGGGTTTTTTTCTTTTTTTTTAAATCTTTGCCATTGTGTAAGACCAAAAATGGCAACTCGTGATATTTTAATTGCTTTTCTTTAATTACTAATGTGGTGAACACGCCCTGTGATGAGCCCCAGTGAATCACGCCTTGTGCACTCCCCTCCCCTTGAATGGCTATGTCTTGTTAGAAACAAGAATAGAATATGGTGAGAGTGAAAAGATTTTCAGATGTAATTAAAGCCCCTTATCAGTTGACTTTGACTTAATCAAAAGGGAGATTATCCTAGGTGGGCCTTATCTAATCAGGGAAGCCCTCTCAAAGGGCTCCTTGAAGTTAGAAACTCATGGCAGAGGAAACTCTCTCTCTGCTGCAGCTTTGAAGGAGCAAGCTGCCCTGGCATGAGGCTGCAAGGAACTGAATTCTGCTACACAGCTACAGGAGCCTGGAAGCAGACGCTTCCCTGGTTATGCCTCCATGTGAGGACGTAGCTGGCCAACATGTTGACCCCAGCCTTGTAATGCCCTGAGCAGAGAAGCCACTCAGCCACACCCTGTGTTCTGACTTGCAGAAACTGTGACAGTGTTTGGCTGTTGTTTTAAGCCTCTGAGTTCATGGTAATTTGTCATGCAGAATAAATAACTAATGCAACTAACAAAACCATGATTTTTCTGTGTATTATTGATCATATTTTTTTCTTCTTTACAGCCCATTTTTCTGTGAGGATTCATCATTTTCTTATGGATATTTGAGTTCTTAAGACATTAAAGCTTTTTTAAGGAGTATCAACTCCTTTATCTGTCAAAATAATAAACAGTCATTGCATTTTTATGTGGTCCAATCCCTGTACCTTTCTCATCTGGAGTCTGCTTTCATTGTGCAAATTGGAAGGTCCATTCTCATTCTCAGGCTACAGAGAGGGTCACATATAATTTCAGCTAGTACCTTTGTGGTTTTATCATTACATCATTACATTTAAATTGTTTTTTTGTTTTTTGGGTTTTTTTTAGAAACAGCGTCTAGCTCTGTTGCCTGAGCTGGAGTGCAGTGGCACAATCATAGCTCACTACAGCCTTGAATTCCTGAGCTCGAGTGATCCTCCTGCCTCAGCCTCCTGAGTGGCTGAGACTACAGGTGCCTGCCACCACCCCCAGCTAATGTTTTTGTTTTCGTAGATGAGGTCTCACTATGCCGTCCAGGCTGGTCTCAAACTCTTGGGGACAAGCGATCCTCCCACCTCGGCCTCCCAAAACTTCTGCGATCAAAGGTGTAAGCTACCACATGCGGCCAAGAACCAGTTAGTTCTTAAACATTTGTCAGCACCCATGGGGGAAGTGCTGTGCTTGTGCTGATTGGTCTAAGGCCTGTAAGGGGATCGCAAATTCATTGTGGGTAATTAGCTCAGGAACAGTAGATCCAAGCCAGCTTGGGACAATGGAACAGAAAAGAGGTTTTCTGGGGGATTCTGTAACTTCTCCAAGGAGGCAACTGGTCCCAGGTGTCTGGGTGGCTGTTTTGTGGCAGTAAGAATCATGCTTGGACACAGCTGAGTCTGTGGACAGCACAGCAGGGAAATGGAAAGGACCTACTGATGACATTGGTGAGCCACTGGGTCACCAAGCTCTCGGTGCGTGTTGTTCAAGCCTGCTCACCCCACCCACGTTTAGCTGGGGTTGCTTTTGGCCAAAAGCACTCTGCTGACATGCAGGGACTTCACGAGATGTATCACTCCCAGCCGACTCCCAGCACATAGCAGTCGCTGTAAAAGACAGCATCTTTTCTTTAACTTGGGGTCCTGCTTTGTGTCCAGGGCATTCCTTTGTGTCCAGGGCATTCCTTTGTGTCCAAGGCCTGCATTCCAGCCCTTGCCCTCCTCACTCACAGGCCACACTTGAAGCTTTCTCACCCTTTAAGACCCAGCTCAAATCCCACCTGCTTTCTGAAGCCTGTCCAGCTCCCGGGGAACTCTCCACACTCAGCTTGTCCTTCGTCACATGTTGCTTTCTGTGGCTGCCTGTGCTTTCCTGACTCTGGGTTTCATCTTCTCCAGAGTAATACCCCTTGAGGGCCAGGGCCATTCTTCCTACAGCAGTTGGCCTCCTCCTCTGGGTCTTGCTCAACCACTTGACTCTTGTGATGTTCGGCTGGTATTTGGTGATGGGCCTACAGGTGGTTTCTCTCTCCTCCCTCTTGCTTTTATAAGCTGTGGGCACCGGCATGTAGCTGAGTAAGATGCCTACAACAGCAAGTGCAGAGTTATTATTTTGTTCCAAAGGTCTTTGCAAGTGTAAGGCATGTCTAAAGCAGCTGTAAATAATTTATATTGTCCATAGCTCAAGCTGATCAAAATAGACCTCATCATGGTGATGGGGCAAAATCTGGACAAGCTGCTTTCTGCTGCCTCCAAAGCCATTGCACAATCAGAGCGGACCAGAATCTGACTGTGTTCCCTCCTAAATCCGACTAATACCCCATCCACAATCACATTAATCACAATCTGTCCGTGATTAGACACCAGATAATCCTACTGGACAAGAGGTGACAACCCAGATTCTATTTAATACTATCTCATTTATTATCTATTTTTGGAGTTTACTGATAACTCTAAGCTTCAGGAGATGTTTTTCAGTGAAAGAGAATTTACTGTAGGTTCTTTTGGGAAGTTGTTGCTTGGTAGGCTTTGGCTAGAGCTACACAATTGGAGTGGTTTGAGCTTTCCTAGTTTGTTGCAAGTGATGAACAAAGCAGGGCAAGAATCTGTGGCCCTTGTTATGAGAAAAAAAAATCCTACATATTTAGCTCCTCATGCATGTTGGAAAGAATAAAAGACATCCTTATAAATCTTTAAAAGGACAGTAATAACTTTATGATGAGACAGTCTCATGTGTGAGAATATATGATCAATTGTTTTTCGTTCGTTTTAGGATCCTAAAGACAAGCGTCTGTGATTGGTAAAGGGCCCTCAGAGTCTGCACAACATAAAGCAGCACATATCTGTGCAGGACAAGCAGCTTGCTACAATATTCAGTTTTCCTGCTGGGGAATAAAGAACGCAGGCACCACTGACGTTCAAGTCGAATTGCGTTCTGACAGCTGACAGTTCCTCTAATTTGAATCTAGAAATTAGAATCTGCTAAAGGGAAATAAATGCAGGTACCTCATGAGTCATGGCAATTCTTTTTTTTTTTTTTTTTTTTTGAGCCAGAGTCTCTCTCTGTTGCCCAGGCTAGAGTGCCATGGTGTCAGCCTAGCTCACAGCAACCTCCAACTCCTTGGCTCAAGCCATCCTCCTGCCTCAGCCTCTGAGTAGCTGGGACTACAGGCATGTGCCACCATGCCCGGCTAATTTATTTTTAATATATATTTTCAGCTGTCCAGCTAATTTCTTTTTATTTTTTTTGTAGAGACAGGTCTCACTCTTGCTCAGGCTGGCCTCAAACTCCTGAGCTCAAACGATCCTCCCGCCTCGGCCTCCCAGAGTGCTGGGATTGCAGGGAGTCATGGCAATTCTGATCCGGAGCTCATGGTCATTGACTCTGAAGTCGCTCCCAGCCCATAATGATACAACTCACAAAGCGGGGCGCTTCCTGCAGTGGTGACGTTTCTGCCTCAACCCATATGTATTTTGCAGTATCTTTAAAGGTGAGTTACAAGTGAAACTTTTCCTCTTTCCTCAGGATCACAGATAGAAATTCTTCCCTTCGCCCCATGTCAATGGTCGAGATTAACTGATCATGCCCCACCTCTCCCCCCAGCCAGCCTTCCTCCTGACCTGCCATTTCTGGGGCAGAGGGAGGCGCGGCGCGGAGGTCACGTGCACGCCGTCCTCCTGCCAAGTCTCCTGCCCTCTCCACTGAGACCTTGCTCCCTCTGGCCTTGCCTGACTCATGCAAGCGCTAATCTTTCCCTACCATAGCCATGTTCCCGCCCTTTTCCCACCTAAAGCTCCTCAGCCCTACAGCAGGTTCCCCATGCCCGGAGGACCCCGCAGAACTCCTCAGCCTGCACTTGGGCCTGCCCGCCCTCACCCGCTTCTCTCTCAGCCGTCTGTGCGTGTCCAGCCCCACGGGCCTGCCTCGGTGGCTGCGGGGCCATCCGCGACTGCAGCCTCTCCTCGCGGCTCCCGTCCCCTCCCCAGATGCACTCTACCCCACACCTCCTCCCTTTGTCTGCGATTGCTCCCTGCCCCTAGCAGACCCTCCTGCTCCTTTCCGCCTGGATGGGTCGCACGCATGCTCCAGGGCTCAGGCGTGGAGCCACGGGCGCCCTCCACGTCCCCGATCCGGACACGCGCCTTCCCTGCGCACGTCTCCCCTTGCGCGCGTCTCTCCCCTGCACGTCTCCCCCTGCGCGCGTCTCCCCCCTGTGCGTCTCCCCTTGCGCGCGTCTCCCCCCTGCGCGCGTCTCCCCCCCTGCGCGCGTCTCCCCCCTGCGCGCGTCTCCCCTTGCGCGCGTCCCCCCTGCGCGCGTCTCCCCCCTGCGCGCGTCTCCCCTTGCGCGCGTCCCCCCCTGCGCGCGTCTCCCCCCTGCGCGCGTCTCCCCTTGAGCGCGTCCCCCCTGCGTGCGTCTCCCCCCTGCGCGCGTCTCCCCCTTGCGCGCGTCTCCCCCCGCGCGCGTCTCCCCTTGCGCGCGTCCCCCCTGCGCGCGTCTCCCCCCTTGCGCGCGTCTACCCCCTGCGCCCCGCTCCCAGGCTGCCACACCCGAACCGGCCACAGCCAGGGCGGCTTCCCTGCCAGACAGCCGCCTGTCCTGCCTCCCGCTGGAGCTCAGCTCCTCCACCTTCCTTCCTTCCCTTTCTTTCTCACCTCGTCCAGTACGTGGGTCTCAGCAAGGGGAAAAAGATATTTCTAGAAGAAAATTGAACACTAGAAGGCAGGCCCAGCCGGGCAGGGATGCCAGTGCCCGGCCACGCCAGCCAGCCCAGGTTCCCCCTCCTGGGAAGACGGGAAAATGCAACATTCCCAGAAGCCACCAGGGATCTCTTCTCCTCCAGAGCTCTGGGTTTAGCAGATTATCCCTGGGGCTACCTTCAGGATATGATCTGAAAAGAAACAAAAGCTCCCCTGTGTGTGTGTGTGTGTATACTTATGACAAGCTCTTACTATGTTGCCCAGGCTGAACTTGAACTCCAGGGCTGAAGCCATCCTCCAGCCTCAGCCTCCTGAGGAGTTGGGACTACAAGTGCCTGCACCACCACACGCAGCTTTTCCCATTTTATTTTTTAGAAAGGGGTTCATTGTTTTCCTCCTTCTAGAATCACCCCATGTGTCGTTGTTTTATCTGCCTCCCATAGGCTTCCCTACCCCCACCATTCCCCAAGGACAAGAGTGCTATATACTACTGGGTTGTTTGCTTGTTTTAATGCAGAATGACCTTGGCACACATCCACTGTAAGCAAAGTAACAAATAAACAAAACCGTTCCCATCTGGACAGATTCCAGTGCCACAAGTTCATTAGTCTCACGGACTGGTGTGGGCTGTGGGTTTGAGTCTCAGTCCCACTTCTTTACTCGTTGCATTAACTTGTGAAGGTTATCGGTTTATTTATTTCTCAGATGCCGAAAGATGATATCAGGACCTGCCTCAGTGCTCAGAAGCAGGACTAGCTTCATGGAAATGCAACCTGTGCAGTTACACAGAGCGGTGCTTGGCTGGATGCTCTGCAGGCGCTGTCTGTAAAGTCTTAATCCTTTTTGAGCAAGGAGCCCCACCTTTTCATTTGGCACTGGGATCTGCAGACTATGTGGCCAATCCTGCTCCGGTCGCTGGACACTTACAATGAGACCTTATATGATTTCTTAGCCCAGGGCCCAACCAGCAGCAAGCGCTCAGTACCTGATAGCGAAGGGAGAAAGGGGCTCAGTGAGGAGGAAGAGCTGCCACCAGTGCCAGTGGGCACCTGTTTGCTCCAGGGGAGCCTGGGGGTGGGGGACAGAAAGCACAGGGCTTGGATATTGGGAGGCTTGGCCCCTGGCCCTGACTTGCCAAGTTCCTTCCTCTCCCCAGGCCTCCCTTGTTTCTTTGAAACACAGTGCCCAGTGTCCACTCCAGAAGCCGGTGGTGGGTGATGGTGTGAATGCTAAGGCCCTCTCTGGTCTGCTCTCTGTAACATCTCCAACTGTCTGTGGAAATGGAGTGCAGGGGTGAGGGGAGGGAGGGAGGAACAAGAGGGGAGGCCTGGTCCAGTGGTCAAGAAGGAGGGTGGGGCTCTCGGCCCCTGACAATGGCAGAATCCCATCCACAGGGACTCCAGCAGGAAAAGCTCCAGCTGAGGTCTGGGGAGCTGGCTTCCAGCTCCATCTCTGTCACTTACATGCTCCGTAACAGGTCACCCAGCCTGTTTCCTTTCGGATGTCCACAGTGAGGATCAATGCTCTTCCCTCCAGCAGCATGTCCCCTGTGCTGGGTGGACTGGACGGAGTGCTCTGCGAGTGAGTGGGAAGTGGCATGGTGTGACAAGCCCGCAAGTCCTGGAGGCAGAGCCTTGTTCCGCCAGCTCCACCAGCCGAGGGGCGGAAGCAGCTTCACCTCTCCATGCGGTCTCCGGTTTCCTCGGCTGTGAAGTAGGGATAGTTGTAACTCGAGCAGCTGCTTCCTGGAATGTTGTGAGCATGAGGGCAGCGCTGTCCGCGGGGCATGTGGCCCCACGCAGAGTGCAGCACAGGAGGGCAGCACGGCGGGCAGTCCTCCCAGCCCCACGGAAAGCAGGGGACGAAGTGTCTCTGTTCCTGCAAGGATCTGCAGCCGGATAAGCACAGGGGCAGTCGCCTTGGGGAAGGCTAAGTGCGTGTGTGGCCTGGAGAAGCTGCCTGGGCTCGGGCTGGTCTGAGCCTGCGTGGCCCTCTGGACTACCAGGCAGGGGGAGGGGACACCTCCCTGGGCTGCGGGCTCTTCTATGTCCAACAAAGTTCTGGAGAGAGAGTCTCCCAAGGCTCTTCCAGCCTTCTAGTTCTAGAGAAGGAAAGAAGAAAAAAAGGAAGGATGGGGGGATTAGGTATTCAATAATAAAGGTCAGTTTGTTTCCGGTGACCTGGCATATTTTGGCTATCTGCTCCCAGCCCCTGGCTCCCAGCCTACTGCTCCCTGGTCTTTCCCTCAGGTTTTTTGTTTGTTTTTGTTTTTTTGCTTTGGTTTGGGTCTTGGTATTTAAAATATATTTTAACGAAAACACATTCTTACCATCTTTATTCTTTTTTTCTGGACAGGGTCTCACTCTGTCAGCTTGGCTGGAGTGAGTGCTGTGGCGTCAGCCTAGGCCACTGCAACCCCAAACTCCTGGGCTCAAGCGGTCCTCCTGCCTTGGCCTCCCAGAGTGCTAGGATTACAAGCTTGAGCTACCACGCCTGACCTCACCATCTTTAAACCACTTTGGTACCAGTGTCACCTATAGTCGGTAGCCACAGATGAACGGGCACAGCCGAGCGTCGCCTATAGCTGAGCATCGACTATATACAGCCATGATAGGAAGGCGCACAGCCAGCGTCCACTTTAGCCAACAGCCGTGATATGACATTTCTAAGTTTTCACTTATCAAAATAAAATTGTGAACATTTAAAAATAACGTAATGAAAACACATATGTGCATGTTACCTATTCTGATTTATATTACGAGTAAAGCTGCCTGTAAAGTAAACAAGCTGTCAGTGCTTTCAAGCTTTCCTCATCACACGAGAGCAGGACGGATCCGCCGTCAACGCACCGCACAGACTGTTGTGCGGACTGCGAGTGCGGCTGTGGGCAAGAAACCTTGCCCGGTGAGCACCGTACCCAAGTGGTTAAATGAAAACAATTTGCATTTTCAAATCTGAAGCTGCTCTGGCATCAGGACTTAACTGCTTTCTGCGCCATGTTTCCTGTGCCACTGCACTGTTGACTCATCCCCCAAGCTCCCAGGCACATGTGAGACAGTCCTCCTCTGTTGGGAGTCCCTGCAGCAACTTCATGGCCTTGATGCTTATCAGATGTTTAACCACTTTTAGTTTTGCATTCACTGAAGAATATTTTGATATTCTTGTGAACTTGAGGGGTATGGTGCTTTTCCTAATCCGAGCATATTTATTATGTCTTTCTTCCTAATATGGGCGTCTTTTTGTTCTGGTAGCAAGTTGCAGTTTGTGAGAGCTCTGTGGATCTGAGCCTAGCTTCCCTGATCTACAGCTGAAGGCTGGCACCTTTGTCTGGAACCCTTGACTTGGCAAATTTGTGGTGAGTCCAATCTGTCACAATCTGTTGCCTGCCTGAAGACCTCTAAACTACTGAGCACAAAATCCCTGCCATAAGTGTGGTGACTGTCTTTTTAGAGGCAGCACCTGATAAATGTTCAGCCTGAACTTTCTCACTCCTGTCCTAAGGGTAGGAGCTCTATCACCATAGTGAGAGTGACCCCCTGTTCTTTTCTTTCTCAGAGACCTTTGCACAGTACGCCTATCTTTCAGGAGAATTGCGAGCAGAGTTTTAAGCAGCAGTGATGTGGTGGAGGAGATTTTAGGAACAAAGAATCAGGGAGACTTCTCAAAATCTTCCCAGGAGGGTCACAGCTGGGCTTGGTGTAGGGGTCCTGCAGAGCTATGGAGCTCAGGCTGCTGTTTCCAGTAAGAAGAGAGTGCTCTACAGCCCTGGAGAGCAGGCACCGAGGTCTCTAGTGTGCTGTATCTGGGAGTCTGGAGAGCCTGTGGCCCCCACCTCCCCCACAAGACAACCCTGGGAGCAGCCAGGGAGCAGAGAGCCAGGGCAGGGCCAGGTCAGTGGTGGCCTGTGGTTGTGCCAGGCAGATATTCTCTTCTCCTATCTCAGTGCTGGTCTCCCAGGGGTGGTTGCGACCCAGAAGACACACATGGAGGGACCTTGGAACAGGTCCCTGGTTTTCCACCTCCAGAGAGGAGAGAAGAGGGTGAGTGGTGGAGCCACACCCATGTGGGTCTTCAATGGCACAGTGAAAAAAGCAAGGGAGAGGAAGCCAGACAGACTGGGTTCAAAGCCAGCTCTGACTTACTTGAGGCGGTAATTAACCTGAGGTGGTAATTTCCCCTTTCTGAGCCTCAGTTTCCGAGGGGATTTGAATGGGTCTAATACTACCTACCGCATAGCACTGCAGTAAAGACCTAATAGGCTAATAACAGGGGCTTTGCACATGATGGCACTGAACAAATATTTGTTCTTGACCTGACTTCCTGACATCCTGGGAGAGGCAATCATCTCCTACCCCTTCCTCCCTAGTACAGTTTCAAAGGACTGGTTTTTCTGAGCAGGAAGGAAGACTTTCTCTGAGCAGGAAAGGATTAATGGTTGGGCCTGGGATTCCAGTCTGGAGCTGCCCCCTTCTAGCCAGCAGCCTGCACCCCTGAATTATTCATTTGTTGGCTCCTGCCTGGCACAGGACCTAGAGGGTCCTGGGAGCCAGGCCTGGCCCAGGATCTTCCTGAGAGGAAGGCCGGCAGGCTGGGTGTGCCTATCGGCTTCACACTGGGGCATGCACGCAGTGTGTCTGCTCCGATTCTGCGCATGCGCACTCACAAACACAGGTATCACCTGTGCACAAAGTCTACACGCAGACCACACGTTTTCAAACCCCGTCAGCACAGCAGACACACACTGAAATAAACAACGAAATTATCAGATGACACAGAGATAGAATGAGACCTCCCCCCGCAGCCAGATACACTTGGACACAGTGCGCAGAGGCTGCCTACAGACACAGCCACAATGACAGTTTTCATAATTAACACGCACTGAGCACTACGTGCCAGGCATTGTTCTAAGCCTCTCCCAGGGAACTATTTAATTAGGCAGCTACTGTTATTAGCCCTATTTTACGGATGAGAAAACCGAGGGAAGGAGATTTAAAATAAGATTGCTGAGGTCACACAAGTGAGTGGCGCAGACACACGCAGACACCCGTCCCTCGCTCCTCTCCCCCGCTGATTTACAGACACATTCTCGGACACGCAGCACTCCGCCAAAGCCAGACCCACCCCCCAGGGGAGCGCCGTTGGGGCATCGGTGGCCCGCGACGCAAGAAACGGCCAGTTGGCCGAGGGCTTGGCAAGCTATGACAAAGGGCCAGACCAGCGAGAAGACTCCGGTTCCGGAGGTGCAGGCGGCGGTCCAAGCCTCCCGGCACGAGCCGCGGCGCTCAGCGCTGGGCGCGGCGCGTGGCGGGTGACGCCGTCGCCGGCTCGGGCTGGCTGGGGCCCGGCCTGCTCTCCGCGGCGTCCGCTTCCCGCGAGCAGCCGCAGAGGGCCGCGTCCCGCGGAGACACACGCGGGCGGGAGGCGCTCCGCACGGCTCGGGCCGGCCTTTGACCCTTCTGAACAGAGCCCACGGCGGGCTCTTGGGGGGAAGGTCGCCGGGCTCTGCTCGCCAGTCGCGCGGCCCGGAAAGCCGACGTCCGCTCCCGGCTGCTCCGCGAAAGGACGCCGCGCCCGCGGGACCCGCCCTCCGGCTGCGACGCGCGCTCGGCCCGGCGGCGTCCGCAGAGCCGGCTGCGCTGCGCGGCGGGAAAGGATGGGGAGTCCTCGCCGCGCCAGACGCCAGATACAGGGCCGGGAGGGCGGCGGGCGCTCTCCGCAGCGCGGGCGCCAGGAACAAAGGGCGAGGGCGGCGGGCCGCGACGGCGCCGCGTGCGCACGGGCCTCCGCGGTCGCCCGTCCGAGAGCGGGCTTTCCACTTTCGTCTCTAAAAGAAGGGAGCCTTTCCAGGAGAGCCCCGCCCCCGGCGCCCGGGCGGCCGCTCCGCGAGTCCGCGGGCAGCCCGCGGGGACGCCGGGTCCAGTCCGGCCCTCCGCCCCGCGGCGCCGGCCGTGTAGACGTGGGGCGGGCCGCGCGCCATTGTTCACTGCGGGCCAATCAGGGGCGGCCCGCTTCCGCCCAGCCAATCACCCCTCACCGCCGCCTCCCTCCCAGCCCCGTGCGGCCCGGGCCCCCCGCACCGCCCGCCGCCCGCGGTGCCGGGGCCGCTCCGTGACGCCACGGGTGCCGCCCCAGCTCCGGGCCGCGATGCGTGCTGACGTCATGCTGCGTGCGGGCCGGTGCGGAGTCGCCGCTCCAGAGCGGCGGGGCCGGAGTTAGTTAGCAAGGAGCGGAGGCTGGGCGCGCGCCCCTCGTCCTGCTGGCCTCCGCGCGCGTCGCGCACCTCGCCTTCCTGCATGGTGGATATTATTTTTCACTGTCCTTTTCTGGGTGCTATGGGGGATCATCCCAAGAGTAAGTCTCCCTGCGCGTGGCGCGTGTGCGTGTGCTTAGGATGCGGGAGCGCTAATGCGGAAGAATGTTTAGCGGAGTCTACAAGTGGCTCCTGTTTGACAGGATACTTTAGAAGAGAGAAAACAAAACGAATGCGTTTCTCCTGCAGGACTGCTTATCCTTGGCATGCCATTGTTTTGTTTTATAAGTAAACACTATTTCTCCAGCCGGCTCGCTGACTTCAGGCTACGAAATCTGCCTGTTTTGCGCAAAGGCAATTAGGTCTGACTTAGGGTGTGGGGTTTTCGTTGGCTTGTCTTTTGGTCTTTGAAAGCTAGGGCGGTTTCTGCAGCCTGGTCCGGGGTGGCTAACTAAGAAATGCCGGGGAGGGCGAGCCGGGTCCCCGAGAGCCGGCGTGCCGGTGCTGGCGCGGCGGCCGCGCCGGACCCGCTCCGCGTCGGTGCGGCTCCGCGGCTGCTTCCTCTCGCCTTCTCGCGGGCGTTTAGTTACGGGACCGTCCGCGAAGTGCCTGCGTTCGGTGAAAGGAGCAGCGAAGGGATTTGGGGGGATTTGGGGGCGGGCGCAAGAGACCGAAAGCCTTGACAAATTCAGGAGAATTTGTCTTTTTCGTTCCCAATTGCTGGGCCCTTGAAGGCCGTCCGCTTCCCTGGCGGTGGCAGTCCCCGAGCAGCGGGCGGGCGGGGCGGCCGGGCCGGGCCACCAGGCCTCACGCGGCCCTGCGCCCTTCCCCGGCAGAGAAGCCCGGGACGGCCATGTGCGTGGGCTGCGGGAGTCAGATCCACGACCAGTTCATCCTGCGGGTGTCGCCCGACCTCGAGTGGCACGCTGCCTGCCTCAAGTGTGCCGAGTGCAGCCAGTACCTGGATGAGACGTGCACGTGCTTCGTGAGAGACGGGAAGACCTACTGCAAGCGGGACTACGTCAGGTGAGGCCGGCGGGAACCGGGCCGGCTGCCGCCCCTGGGGCCGGGGCTCGGGCCCTGCGGCGCTCCGCGCTGCTCTGCCCGGCCCGGAGACGGCCGCTCCGCCCGGACGCGTGCCGCGGCGCGCCTCCCGGCCTGGGCAGCCCTCGCGGGCGGCCACAGCCGCCTCCCAGGGGTCCGGAGGGCGAGGGCGGCCGCAGGCCCGCGCTGACGCCGCCCGCGCCTCGGCCCGCAGGCTGTTCGGCATCAAGTGCGCCAAGTGCCAGGTGGGCTTCAGCAGCAGCGACCTGGTGATGCGCGCGCGGGACAGCGTGTACCACATCGAGTGCTTCCGGTGCTCCGTGTGCAGCCGCCAGCTGCTGCCTGGGGACGAGTTCTCGCTGCGGGAGCACGAGCTGCTCTGCCGCGCCGACCACGGCCTCCTGCTCGAGCGCGCCGCGGCCGGCAGCCCGCGCAGCCCCGGCCCGCTCCCCGGCGCCCGAGGCCTGCATCTGCCAGGTAAGCCGCGCCGGCCTGCGCCGGGCGGAGTGTGCGCGCCTGCAGGGTGCTTGTGTTCCTAAGAAGTGGTCGCTTGCCTGCGGTCCGTCTTCTGGGATTTCCGTTTGAGTGAACTGTGTGCTAAGGATGCAGCTGTGTGCTCGCGTGTGCGGGGAACGACTTGGGAGCGTGAGAGCTCGGGAACTGCACAGTGGTGTTCTCTGTGCCGGGAATGTGCGGGGCGTCGTGCTGGGAGCAGCAGGGCCAACGACAACAGGAAGTCTCACGTGGCGCTTGTCTGGGGGCTTGCATTCACAATTTCTTTGGTGAGTGTGTGTGATTGTCGCTGGGAAAGGTAGGTTTGTGAGTGACAGCTCCCGACTGGGAGCAGGGCGGGGGCTCAGCCAGCTGGCAAGAATGGCTGTGAAAGAGGGCTGTCTGTCGCCCAGGTTGGTGAACGACTTAGCAGAGTCTCCTGGGGGGAAGTGTGAAGGCACGGTGGACTTTGGTGTCATTGTAACACCTCATCAGGGTGTTCTGTGCCCTGACCAGGAGCTGTCCCGAGATGAGGTCTGAATGTGTAGCCACAGGCAGGTGGGGTGGCGAGAAACAGGCACCTCGGCGGCAGGCCTGCAGACCCCGGCAGCCGTGGCCTGCAGCGCAGATGTGGAGACCGCGCTGAGCCTCTGGGTGCCGCGTGGCCTTGCCGCCGCCTCTCCTCTCTGGCTCTCCATTTCCTCCCAGTAGAATGAGGAGATTGGGCTGGATGGGCTATTTGTAAATACTTGTCCAGCCTAGGGTTGCCTGCAGGGAGACAGAAGTCCGAACAGCTCAGCACATATCTGCACGTGCGCAGACCGGGTTTGGGTGGGGTTGTGAAACAGGATGGAGGGGTACTGAGCGCCCCCGTCTTGGATCTCAGAGGGGCTCCCCTTGTTGCCGCCTGTGGGCTGTAGGGGTCGAGACTGTGCCCCAGGGGTGGAGAGAACCCAAGGCCGGGCGAGGACTGTGCGGCTCCTGGACTGGGAAGCCTGGGGCCTTGAGGGCCCGGAGACCAGGGCGAGGCCGGAAGGCGGTTGGGAAGGAGCCGTTCCGGGCCCTGGAGGCCGGTCCGTGCCCGGCCCGTCTCCGTCTCCGCACCGTCTGAGCGGGCTCTGAACGAGCGTAGGGCCCTTGCAGGCTCGGGAGCAGGCTGCGGGTCCTCGGTGCCCCCGCAGCGCCGCTCCCGGTCCGCATCGGCGTCTTCACCGCCCGGAGTCCAGGGCTCGTCTCCCTCCTCTTCCTCTGAAACTGGGACTTCTTCCGGAGGGCTCCGCTCCCCGCACGGCCCGGGCGGCCGCGCTGTCCCGCAGCGGCCTGTCGCGGAGCTCCCGAGCCCCGCCTGAGCTCTGGAGAGGTCGCTGCGGGCAGCCCGGCCCTGCGGCGGCCGAAAGGACGAAATGCACAGCTCCCTCGGGGGGAGGCGAACGGGTGGAGAAAGACTAACAATGAAACGAAATGAGCGGGATAGAAGAGCAACGAAATCAGGCCGGGGAGGGCTCGGCCGCGCCAGGCGGGCGGCGGAGCGGGCGGTGGCCTGAGCCCCCTCGCCCGTCCTGTGCCCGCAGAGCCCGGGGCGGCGCGGCAGCCCTCGCTGCGGCAGCACGCGCACAAGCAGGCGGAGAAGACGACCCGGGTGCGCACCGTGCTGAACGAGAAGCAGCTGCACACGCTGCGGACCTGCTACGCCGCCAACCCGCGGCCGGACGCGCTCATGAAGGAGCAGCTGGTGGAGATGACCGGCCTGAGCCCGCGGGTCATCCGCGTCTGGTTCCAGAACAAGCGCTGCAAGGACAAGAAGAAATCCATTCTTATGAAGCAGCTGCAGCAGCAGCAACACAACGACAAGACGGTAGGAGCTGGTCGGGTGGGGCCGCGGGTTCCACGCGCAGGGACTGCACGTTGTTTTCTGGGCGCTCTCTGGGGACATCAAGGCGAACTGGGCTCTCCAAATAGCTTGTTTTTACCTTCAGTGCAAGGCTTGCCTCGGGGCTTAAGGCTCCCTAATTATTTCGTATGCTGTGGGTCCTCTCCTCGTCGGAGTGGCAGCCCCAAGTCGGGGGTCCCGGCACTGGAGCAGCCTAGGGCGGATGGCCCTGTGCAGTGTCCGAAAGTCGGGCTGGCAGGTGTGTCCTCTTACATGCCTGGCCAGGGAGGGGAGCGTGCGCCTCCCCTCCCCTTGCTGGGTAGTTGGCTCCCAGCTCTGAGGCTGGCCCATGGTGGGGTTTGCAGGCCCCAACAGATCCTCAGCGGAGGAGGAGGTCTCTTCCGAGTGTGCACCTCCCTTCAAACCAAAACAGGCCCCAAATCGTACGTACTCCAGTGCCTGGAGCCCCAGTCTCAAAGGTGGCAGGAACGGCGAGACCTAACTCGACTAACTCGAGCGCCCGCCGCCTTCTGCTTGCCCCACAGAGCCTCCAGGGACTGACCGGGACGCCCCTGGTGGCGGGAAGCCCCGTTTGCCACGAGAGCGCCATGCAGGGCAGCGCAGTCGAGGTACAGACGTACCAGCCGCCGTGGAAAGCGCTTAGCGAGTTCGCCCTCCAGAGTGACCTGGACCAACCCGCCTTCCAGCAGCTGGTGAGGCCCTGCCCTACCCGCTCCGACCTCAGGGCTCTGGGGGTTGAGGATTTAGCCACTTAGCCTAGGCTGGAAGGAGGGGGCTTTGCTTGAGATGAGTGCAGGGGACTGCCCTGGGCAGCGGGGGAGGGGAGAGTGGCGGGGCCTGCAACCTCATCGTAAACCAAGGTCTCCTTGGATTAAAGTGAGCACGGGAGAGGTCGCCGGACTGAGAAGCCGCACCCTGGCCCCAATGCCCTGCGTGCGCCTGGGGACCTAGCCGCCTCCTCTGCAGGGCTTGCTCCCACCCCGCGGCCGGGCCCCAAGGGACACTGCCCGACTTGGAGTGCGCGCCGCGTTCTCAAGCTCAGGCGCGCCTTCACCCGCTGCTTCCTGGTGTCTCCGCCACCCAGGTCTCCTTCTCCGAGTCCGGCTCCCTAGGCACCTCCTCCGGCAGCGACGTGACCTCCCTGTCCTCGCAGCTCCCAGACACCCCCAACAGCATGGTGCCCAGTCCCGTGGAGACGTGAGGGACCCTTCCCCGCCAGCCCGCGGACCCCGCATGCTCCCTGCATGAGACTCGCCCTCGCTCGGCCAGCCCAGCTCCCGGAGCGCTCTCGCCTCTGCAGTTGTCGCTATTGTTATTTAAAGGGGAGGAAGCGGGGAAACGGGCAGGAAGGCCGAAGCCCGGGGCGCAAGCTGCTGTCACCAGACTGGAGTCCCCTGCTCCTAGGACTTTTATTTTTTCGAAACCAGAAGTTGGGACTTGCTAGGGTTAGCTCTGCCGGCCCTCCCTTCCCGCGCGCGCGGGGCCCTGCAGCGGACGTGGAGGGACGGCCCGAGGAGCGGACGCGACTCCCCGCAGCGCGTGGTTGCTGGGAAACGCAGAACGAGACTTTCCTTGAAAATGTTTTAAATTATCATTCGACGGAGGACAGTGTGAGCCTTTGCCGAGCAAACGTAAGTTATTGTTATTTATTGCGAGAGCAGCCGGTTCATACTGGGACGGATATTTTGATCTTAATAAAAAGTGGTCACTGATGCGACAATGCTGCTGTGTGCTGTGAGCGCGCGGGCGGGAGGGGCGTCGCCGACTGCAGCTGCCCGGGCCCCGCCCGCTCCCGCGTGGACCCCCGCCCGGGCCCCGCCCGCTCCCGCGTGGACCCCCGCCCGGGCCCCGCCCGCTCCCGCGTGGGCCCCCCGCCCGCCTCCCGCGTGGGACCGACCGCGTGCTCGCGCGGCAGGCGGGGCGACAGCGTTTGCGCGGGAAACCCGCAGGCTCCCGTGGCGGCCGCGCGTGGACCTCGGCCTGCGTCGGGCGCGCGGGGCGAGTCCCTGGCCGTCTCCTCGCCGCTCCGGCGCCTGATCCGGAGCCCGCACCGCCCGGCACCCAGCCCGGGCCCGGCGCCTCGCTCCGCGCCCGGCGCCGCGGTTGCCGGCGGTCCCGAGGCCACCCGGGCCCTGGGCCGCCCCGCGCCGTCCCCAGGGTGGGTGCGCGACGTGACCAGGCTCGTGGCGCTTATTAATTCCCCGTCTAGACGGCGGCGGCGGCCGCTTATCTGCGCCCGGCATCGCCTGCAAGCGATACGCCGGGGCCCGCGAGCGCGCCGCGCGGCCGCCCAGAGTGGCCCCAGAACCAGTCTGGCGTGTCCTGCGTTTATTTTCTTTCCAGATGCGAAGTGGGGGCGGGCGGCCCGGGAGGGCCTGGAATGGCCCTGGGCACGCCGTGCGCAGGCCACTCGGTGTGACATTTCAAACCCCTGGACTGGTTCCCTTGAGAACCGGCCGCGGCGCGGCGCGCAGGAAGCGGCCAGAGCGCGGCCCGCGGGCGCGGCAGGGCGGGCGAGCCGGGCTGTGCCGTCTGCGGAGCGGCCGCAGCCCCTGCCCGGCGCCGCCTGCAGCGCAGCGCCCCGCCACGGAGGACGCTCGAGGGCGAGCGGCCGCGGCGGAGCGGCAGGTGCCCGCCCTGACGGAGGGCTTCCGGCACTATTGGAAGAAAATGGGAGGAGGTGGGCAAATGGAGCCGTTTATATTTTACTTCCTGAAAGTTAGGGTGAGGCTGGCACCAATATTAAAGGGAACATTCCCCTTCTTGAAGATTTAGGAAACGGGAGACAGGGGAGGACCGACTGACCTCTCCAGCGCCCAGAAGCGCCTTTAGCAATCTGGTCTGGGCTCTTTGAGGCGTCATTCCCTTAACTTACCGTTCCTTTCCAATCAGAAATACAGATTTCTCCTTCCTTTACCTTCTTTGCTGGTCGTTGGACAGAGGACTAAAGTTCTGATAAATCTTAGTTTCAAAACTTTTGATTTATCCGGAAGTCAGTTTTCTCATTTTTTTTATTAAAAAGGAAATACCAGATTCTTGAATAAAGAATTTCATTAATAGTTGTTAATTAGCTCTGAAATTTTGCTTTTGACAGACTGCAGTATTTTTATGCTAGGATGGAAACATCTACCTTTCTAATTAGTTATCTCTTTCTTCATTATCCATAGATCAAACATCTAATTCCTTTTTGGGATATTTATGTGTATGTATCTTTTAAAATTATCCACATAAAAGTGGTTATTGTGTGTTAAGATGCCTGCATCTCTGTGTATTAATGTATAAAATATTACAACCTTTTCTGTCCTGTAGTTGCCAGCCACCCAAAGGGCGGGTTTCTGCGGGTTTCCAGGGAAAGGGTTTATTTAACTCTGAAGCCTTATTGCAGTGGTCCCTAGTGAGGTGTCAGATCTATAGTTGGTTCGTTCCATTAATAAGTATCAGTTTTACTAGTTCCCACGTCATCTTCAAACATCTTTTGTAATACAGTAGGGATTTTCCTATAAATTAAATAACTGGAGCAATCACAGTGCTGTATTTTATGTTTACTGAACGTTTAACATGAGATACCCAGTTGTGTAGTAAAAACTCAATTCAATAAAAGATGAATTGCCATAGATGGAAAATGGGCGTTAGTCATTTAGCTAGATTCACTTTAGAATAAGATTTTCTCAGAAGACATATCTAATAATTTGGATAGCTCTATGTAACTGAGGCAGGAAAGGGATTCCCAGAGATGGGAATGTTTATGGCTGTTGTACCACAAAATTTAATCCATATTGAAAGACTGCATAATTCTGGGAAATTCAGAGTCCCTGTGGTAGTATTTCCAACAAACTTTAATATTTCATGGGTTGCGGAACAGAAATCAGACTTTCTGTTTTGAATATGGAATAAAAGTTCAATTTTGTCGGAGTTGCAAATACTTGGTTTAAATGAGACATTGCCCAAGATTGTTCCGTAGAAAGTGTGAGCCCCTGCCACTGCCGCCTCGGGAGGCACGCCGCACGCGTCGCTGCTCCTCGCGCGTCGCCAGGGAACGGCGCGGCGGCCACTGGAGGAAGAAGCTATGGATGGAAAACTCTTTGCAGAAAAGTTCCCAATGGAATTGTGATAAAAGCAGGAAATTCAGAGAGTTTATTAAGCTGATGTGAGTTAGAGTAGAGGCTTTTAAAGAGTCTGATTGATGTGAAAGTAAACTCTGGGAACACTGGGACTGAGCGCAATAATGGGGGTTGCACGACCAGTCACAGACGGGCGGCCGCGCGGGGTCGCAGGTGGCGGCGACGGGCGCCACAAGGGCGCGAGAGGTGCTCGTCGGATGCAGGCGCGGCGCGGGGTGTGCGGCTGCTCGTCCACGCACGCGGGCGCAGATCACCGTGGGGCGCGCAGCCCGGGTGAGCCCCGCGGCCCCCCCCCCCCCCGCCCTCATCCCCGCGGCCCGCCCCCCGCCCGCCCTCATCCCCGCGCGGCCCCCCCTCCTCATCCCGCCTCCTCAACCCCGCCCGCCCCTCTCATTCCCGCGGCCCCGCCCTCCCCTCGCCCCCCTCATCCCCCGCGGGGCCCCCGCCCCTCATCCCGCGGGCCCCCCCGCCCTCCTCATCCCGCCCTCCTCAACCCCGCGCCCCCCCCCGCCCTCCTCATCCCCGCGGCCCCCGCCGCCCCCTCCTCGCCCCTCCCCTCGGGCCCCCCTCACCCCGCTCGGCCTCCGCGCCCTCTGCGCCCTCCTCCGCGCCCCTTTCCTCGCTCCCGTTCCCCCATCCTCCTCGGGCCCCGTCCCCCCCCTTCATCCCGCGCCCCTCGCCCCCTATCCCGCGGCCCTCCGCGCGCCCCTGCCTCTCCCCCTCGCGCCCCCTCCCCTCCCTCCGCCCCTCCCTCGTCCCGTCCCGCTCCCCCAAGCCCCCCACGCCCCTCCGTCGCCCACAGCCCCGCGGCCCCGCTCCCGCCCCACGCCCCCCGCGGGCCCGCTCCCCGGCCCCCACAGCCCCACGGCGCCCCCACGCCCCACGCCCCCGCGCCCCCCGGCCACCGCCACCGCCCCCCGCGGGCCCGGTCGAGAGGGCGGCGGCTGGCGGGAGGCGGCTCTGGGAGCGAGCCGGGAGCGGGCAGGAGCGCGGAAGGCCGAGCGCTTCCCCGCCAGGCAGCGGGGCGTTTGGGTTCGGTCCGGTAGAGGGCAGAGCTCTGGAGCCCCGGGGTGCGGGCGCAGGGGTGGGAGGAGCGCGGAGAGGGAAGTGGAGGAACAGGGATGGTGGTGAGGAATGTCTTCCCAGGTTCTCGAGACTTCCGAGAGCGTGGCTAGGAGCCCTGGGAGAAATAACCCAGGCGGCTTTCCCAGCTGCGCTGGGGGAGGACGGAGGAGGTGTTAGGGGCCGAGGTCCAGACCTAGGCTCAGCGGGGCCCAGGTTCAGGGTTCGAGGACACGGCGCCCACCCCTGCCGGAGTCTGGGGGCCGGCGAGTCGGAGCCAGCTGGGCGGGCCGCCGCCAGGAGCACTCCCGGAGCGGGAATTCCCTCGCGCAAGGGCGCGGGCTTCCCACGGCCTTGCTCCCGGCCCTCCGGCAGTTCCGGCCCCCCCCCCTTTTTTTTGAGACAGAGTCTCGCTTTGTTGTCCAGGCTAGAGTGAGTGCCGTGGCGTCAGCCTGGCTCACAGCAACCTCAAACTCCTGGGCTCAAGCAATCCTCCTGCCTCAGCCTCCCAAGTAGCTGGGACTACAGGCATGCGCCACCATGCCCGGCTCATTTTTTATATATATATCAGTTGGCCAATTAATTTCTTTCTATTTATAGTAGAGACGGGTCTCGCTCTTGCTCAGGCTGGTTTTGAACTCCTGACCTCGAGCAATCCGCCAGCCCCGGCCTCCCAGAGTGCTAGGACTACAGGCGTGAGCCACCGCGCCCGGCCAATTTTTTCCCCTTTTCACTCAAATTCTGGGCTCTGAACCCCGGCCGAAAGTGTTGCTTCTTCTCCGGCTGTGCCCAGTCAGACGGCCAGCTTCCCAGACCGGACCCAGGGGAGGCCTGTCGAGGCTGGAACACCTGTGGCGGCGCCGAGTCCCGCGGACCGGACCGAGAACTGTGCCGGCGCTGGCCGGGCGTCGCGCTCTCCTCACGCCGAGATTGGGAGCCGCGCCCGGGGACTGGGGGCTTGAACCGCGCCGCCACCGGGCGCGCCGAAGGAGGGACCCGGAGCCGCCCGGCCCGGCCTCGGCGGGGCCTGGAGCCTCCTTCCGGGACGCGGGCGCGAGGCCGCTGGCCCGCGAGTCTGAGCGCGAGTTCCGGCACGGCTCCGGGCCGCGGCCACGGCCGTCCCGGTGCCCGACGGCTTCCTGGCAGGTTTCCCGCCAGGTAAGAAGCGCGCTCCCCCGGGACGCGCCGCGCACCTGAAGGCCCGCCCCGCCGCGCCGCCCGCCCCGGTGGCCGCCACCTGCCCGCGCGCGGCGTCCGGGCCCCCCGCGGGGAGTTCGCTTTTTTTTTTTAGGAGGATCTTTTTATTTCCTCTGGATATGCCAAAAAAAAATCTAATATACATAACCCAGCAGTTCTGTGAGGCTCCAAAACGAAGCGTCCTGAGCATAGGTAAGTTCGCTTTTAAAAAATGGGTAAAACTTCCGTATTTTCCAGTCCTCCCCTCCAATAGTCTGGAGTCTAATACATTATCAGATCGTTTTTTTCCAACCAGATCTTTTTTCTTGGTAATGTTTGATCCTTATCTGA